TTACAAAAAATCATATGTATATATATTTAATACGTTATCCCATGTACGATAGGTAATTGGTCAATGTTTTGTAATTTGCAGCTTCTATAATTACCTGAAAAATAAAATAATCGAATAAATAAGTGCAAATATTAGCGAAAGGAGTGTACCATGAGGGTCGGGCTCGACATAACGAGGGAACACTTTTGATGTGCGTTCATTTAATTCAAAGGTAGGATCTAAGACCGATATCGGGCTTGGCTGGTCCTGATTTTCACCAATGTTTCCAGATGCGGCAGGTTTCGACACAGAAAATTTAGTCTGCAAAGGCCAAACAGTGATTTAAGTTTTCAGCCTTTTGAGTTATTAAAATAATTGCTTTAGGGATTGAAAAATAGTGTGGAGATAAACCACATTAAACCTCTTGGCAGTTATTAACAGAAGTAGTAGTTTCCTTTGTAAAAATCTGAAAACTAAAACAAATCTACATGGTCTGCCATTTTCACTTCTGTCACATCTCAATTTCTAACACCATTGTCCGTGGCTACTTATTATGGATCAAGTCACAGAGATACTNTTCAATTATCATCTTTAAAGCAGTTAAAATCCAAGAACCTTACGAAGTCAAATGACGGCACCTTATTTGATGCCAAAATGCTCAATACTGACATTAAAAGATCTAGAAAGAAGAACACGAAAATGGCTTCCTACGTTAATTGCACATCTTAAACCACCCAACCAAATACGTATCAAGTTAATAAAAGATAATTCAAACTATTTAAAGTGCTTGTGTACACACACTATTGTACAATTTATTTATCAGTATTGTGAAATTACTAAAATTTTAATAGTTTCATATAAAACGATAATAGTATCATAATGTGCATATGAAAAAATCCATAATGTGCAATTTACTCCTTAATATGATGCATTTATTAAAGTTTAATAAATTACAAATTGAACCCATGCACTCAATTGAAAAATAGTTAACTTTTGTAATTTGCATATAATTCCTCCAGCATTATCAAATTTTTAAAAGAAGGCCCATGAGCCATTGAAACACATGAAAAAAATATGTCCAAGACTTGATTAAATATATTGGATACCAATAATTTATTGTTTTGGTTGGTCAAGAATTTATTGCATGAACACGGTATGCTTGTGGAGTTAGCAATAGCGAATAGAAAAGGTCAACAATTTCATTTCCATGTGATCCCCTCTCATAATGTCAATGTCATTTTAGCTGTTTCCACAGGACACATAACTGACATAAGAATAAGATCCCTGATTTATAAGTGCATGTTTGTTTTGTGGGATAGCCCAGGATATCCTAGCTTATCCTACACTTATCCCACGTTTGTTTTGTAGGATTCAGGCCCGGTATAAGTGGTTAGCCCGGGATGAAAAAGCATTTTATCCCACTAAATTGGGATAACTCCATCCCACCAAATTGGCCGGATTCATTTAATCCCAAAGAGTGAAATGTCGGTTCTACCCTCCATTTTTTTAAGTTGGGACTCTTTTGACCTTCCTAACTCCACTAATTACAACCTTACCTTCAATAATCACCTTACACATTGGAATGCAACAGAAAAATAAAATCTCTGTTAGTACTATATATCAATTTCAATACGATTTTGTACCACTTCAACTATCACAATGCTCAATAAAAAATATAATTTGATTTTTCATCTCAATCAAAACAATCCCATAAAAAATCATATTAAAATTGATGCCAAATTCTATCTGCCAGGCCCCAACATAGCAGATAAAAGAATGCAAAAAACCCTAATTCCCACAAAATAGATTTGCAGAGTTAATAAAATATGGATCCATGGTCATTGATTCTCGTACTCGGCAAATTTACCTCGTCGCCGTCGCCGGTCATTTGTACCATTATGAATGCTTTGGAATCGACGACGCCGGCCCAACAATCGTCTTCTAAGCTTGTTGCCGAACGACGGTAAACAACCAGCAGACAAAAGGTGGTCGTCAGTGGTGATCGATTTGGGGAAGGAAAATGTAACGAGATCTTCCCGTCTTCGCTGCGCATCCTTCAAATAGGGTCTATGAACAGGAAATAGAAGAAATAAGCCCGTTGTCCTCGTTTCGTTTGCTCCCTCAAATTGTGAGAACATTGGGAATAAAAATATACAATTGAACCTGATATAAAGGGTAAAATAGTACATTACAACCTAAAGCTGATTTATACTGAATTAAATGATTTTTTTTAAAAGAAAATCTAAAAAGCTATCCTACACCTTATCACACATAACAAACACACCACTAAATTTATCCCAACAGTGTAATCCCTCACACTTGTACTAAAATAGTCCAATCCCATCCTTCCAAACAAACAAGGGCTGTAGGTTTATAAAATCGTCCAGAAATTGTGGACTCTGCTTTCCGGAATCAGTTTTTTGCTTTCACTATTACTTGTATAACAAGGATTAAAACAATTTTGCTCCTAATTTTGGTTGAAAACATACATGGCCAAGTGATGGTATTATTCTCTGTTTCCAGGTGGTATTTTGCCTGCTTCATAATTTTCGTACCAGATCAATTGAGCATTATCTATCTATTTTCTTAGTAATAATAGAGCTATTTTTATTCTATTTATTTTGTCAATGTAATTTGCTTGACCTTTAGAAACAAATAAATTTCTTCAAACCAACAATTCCATATAAAGAACACATCTCCAAGCATGATTGTATAAACATAAAACTAAAAATAAAAATAAACCCACTACCATATATGAATTCAGCACAACACAATGAATAGTGTCATCAAGCCTAATACTTGCATTTATTGATCAAAACAAATATATATATCATTCCATCCTGTCCCATAATAAAAGCAATGCAAATAATATACACAGGAATTACAGACACATACGTGTGGACTGACACACACTTTTTCCTCAACAAATTTTCATCCCCAAATATATGGAGACAAGAATGCAAATTTGCAGAACTAAAGTAATAAGGAAATAAATACAAGCAGACTAAAGAATGTATAATAAGCTCCCATCATCACATTCTACCTGTCAAGTTCAATCACAGCCTCCTCCAAAAGCATCTCAAACAGAACAACCTCAATTTCTTTTCCCAAAATGTCCCTCTCAAATCTCAAATTCTCAACCCAACCCTTCCCCGCCACCTCATTCCTCACTGCCCTCTCCACCACGAACCCGTTTTCGTCCCCCGAAAACCAACAGTTCATGCGGGCCCACACCTCGTCCGCCAGCTGTCCTGGGCCCACAAGCTCGACCAGTACCACGTTCAAGCAATCAAAGACGAGCTTCTGCATGGACCTCTTCTGCCTCCGCCTAGCCTCGTTCGTATCGTTTTTCAAGTCGATGTACGTGTCTCTCAAGGACGGATCTAATGGGCTCTCGGGCGAGTGCCACCTGGCGAAGAACGAGTCGTGATGGGCCTCGCTTTCAAGGCCCGTCATAGATAACAATGTTCTGGCGAATAAATACCATTCTCGCCCCTCGTCTTTTGTTGGTGCTTGTGTGGCGGTCAAGGCCATGTCTAAGCTTGAGTCGTCCCACAATAAGGTACGAGCTATGGAGCCGATAAGTGGTGACTTATCGATGAAGTTTGAACTAAGTGGGCTCGATGACAAATCGTAACCTGAAATGGTGGCCCGGGAAATAAATGACGAAATCAAATTTTTCATCAAGTTATAGAAAATGAATAATTATAGGGTTTAGCCACACTGTAACGCCTACTTCTGATTTAAAGAAAATACTAATATTTTCAAGTAATTTTAACCTTTTTCAAAACTCTGAAAAAAAATTTCCTGGGTCGTTACTCAAAAATACTCTTTCTTTTCTGAAAATTGTAACTCTTTTTTTCTTTCTCTTTCTTTTCACTTAACTCTCAAAATGAATGGAGACATGCAATAAACTCAAAAAAAATTGCAATAAGTCTCAAATGACTAAATTTCATAATCCTCAAATCGAACATGCAATCATCTCAAAATCAAATGTCTCGACATGGAAAAATAATGCTGAAAAGGAAACTGCAATGTCTGAATTAAATAACTGAATAATAAATAAACTCATCCCCCACACCAACCTTTCATTCGATTGTCTTTCACAG